CGTATCCAGAAGTGCTCTCATTGAAATAGGCTAGTGGTAGTACTGTCAACACATTCGACAATTTCAGTGCCCATAGACCCTGCTCCTTGCCCAGGTAACTGGCAGTGATTGTAAAGGACAGTATTTGTTTTACGGACAACGCTGTATCTGTGCTCCCTTGCTCGAGTTTGTAGAGTTCATTTGCTTTAGCCTACGTATTGTATGTCGCAAGCTGTACACGTAATTACGTAAATTATACCAGCTGTTTTGCAAGTGAACAAAACGTCGGGATTGCATAAGGGAACAAAACGGGAGCCGATGGCGGAGGAGTGTACCAGGAAAAAATCATGCGGCAGCAGATACAATTGCTGCCGCAGGCATGTGTAGAATTGCGGATGTTATTATCACGTTCAGTAATTTTAGTAATACGACCATGTAAATCAACCCGAAAAAGTTGTTTAAATGCATGACCACCCTGTTGTTCAGCTAAACCATCCGTGGGCAGTCTACCGGATGAAGTAGCACAGTTGATTATAGCTATTTCTTTGGCTGACCGTTAAGAGAAGGAATGCGCCCGGCCAGAGGCACAAACCTTTTAGGAACCGCGCAGCTAGGCAGGGCTGCTACCTATCGGGCTACGACCAATACCCAAATTACCCCTCCAGATCCAGGCGGATGCCAGGGTTCCCAGTCTAGTGACCTTTTAACTGGTAACCAGTGGAGGAGCTCCCAAAATCGATAGCGACCGAGAGGTGGGAAACTTCCTAAAATAAGATAAGCATGTGTGAGTTGGTGAAATGGTGGGATGAGAAACGAGCGTAACATTCAATGAGCAAATGTGTAATATCCCATCCAAATGCGCATGTAAGTTAAGGTAGCATGAGTACGTGCGTAGTAAACTAGTTGACATATGTTGTGGGATATGTTAAGGAGCGGGAGAAGTGTCCCCATTGCAATCTACAAAATGTGAGGAGCACAGAGTCTGTAGGCATGGGAAAATGTACGAAATGAGCAGTAGATGCTAAGCTAAAAACATGCAAAAGAGCAAA